CGATCTGTTTTCTCAGCTTGTCCCCGTCAGAGCAGTGGAAGATTAGTTTTGATGTTTACCAACCGGATACGGTGGCAGAGTTTAAAAAGAGCCACCCTGGAGAGCCTTGCATGTGTGTCTGCAGGTAAACACACTGCCTCAATACACTGAAATTAGTCTGCTGACTTATTATCTGTATTATGATTGCTCACAGTGAGTGATTGTCTTTTCCCTGCTGTATTGGTTTTGTCATTTTGCCTTAGTTATACAGTGGCTGGATCGAACTGACTGCTGATTCATAGTGGAAAATCATTTGATGCTTTTGCAGTATTTAGCAATGGAATGGAATATGCAAGTCTTTCATCAAAATGTTTAATAACATGCTATATTTGGCCTCGTGGTATGATCCATCTCTGATGTTTCTACCCTTTAAATAAATGTTTCGGTAGAGGCATAACAAATTTAGTAATAACTGGAGATACTGGGAATTAAAAGAAAAAAAAATCTACAGTGCAAATAAATAAGTTTTAAATAAATAAAATTTTAACAGAAGAATTATTGGCTTTGCAATTTGCTGTTAAATCCTCCAAAAGCAATAGACATAACAAAAATTGGAGATACTGGAAATAAAAAAGTTTTGTGTGTTACAGTGATTTTACCACGAATAAGGGGTGCACTCGTAAATGGCATGAATGGAAAGCAAAACACCATTTTGATAAAAGATACCAATATTCAAATATCATTAATTTTATTAATATTATTATTAATATTTTCAGAATACTGAAAAATGCATAATGCCTTGTATCGCAGTGCACATTTTGTCATGTGACTATATAGTATTTAGAACCATAATCTTTAGTCATAATCAGCTGTCTGATTGAGTGATGCACATTTTTATGCTAAAATTCTACATTTTCTACATTAATTATGACAGAGCTCCTGATAAAATCTTAAATGATAAAGAATAAATGATCAAATCTGTATCACGTGACAAGATATCTGTATATGTCCTGATCTGAGCAACCCAATTGATTTCGGTCTTTGTACATTGACAGTTTTGACGGTCCTGTGACTGATCTGCATGCCATGAAGCAGCTGTCCTTCCAAAGCTGTACTTTTTTGTTAATACAATGGAAGTCAGTGGGAACTGAAACTGTTTGGCTACCAACATTCTTTAAAATATCTGAAATTTGAACATTATTTAAAACCGAAGTCATACAATTTTGGAATGACATGAGGGTGAATAAGTGATGACAGGATTTTAATTTTTTGGTCAACTGCCTCTTTGTGTTGATTTTAAAACAAAACCATTAAGAATGAATGCGTTTTGTTTCTGGCTCTGTGTACTCCATATTGGAAGTGCTATGTCTATTGTGTTATTCAATGCACTTCAGTGCTGTCACAATATTCTGTTGAAAATGAAAAAGCTAGCGCTTTAGTTTGGTGTTGGATTGAAGGAATGGTATGGGATGTTTATCAATAACTGTATATCTTGATGCCACCATGTTTGTGAATCCACACACCCACATTACATGTCTGTATACGTTCTCTGTCAGATTTCTATTGCATTTTGTGTTTCAGAGTTTCATTTTGCTAGAGCTGTCAGTCAATTAAAAATTGTAACTGAATTACAGCAATTACTTTTTATACCAAGAGGCTGTTGAATGCTTGAATGTGATTGATTGATAAACGCGCAGAGCTAAAGTAGTTCCAGGCAGGTCTTAACCGCATTTAACCCGATCTCATGAAAGTGTGTATAAATAGTACGCCAAATAAAAACGAAAACTCGTGATATTGATACGCAAAAATGGACTTTGGCGTGTATATGCTACGTGATGGGTAGGATTAGGGTTGTGGGGTAGATGCGTATCATATGTATGCGAAAACTGCGTATCATATGCACGGCAACAAATTTCGTATCATATGCACGCAAAAACTACGTATTATATGTACGCCAAACACATGCGTATCATATGCACGCGAAAACTGCGTATCATATGCACGCCAGCAAATTTCGTATCATATGCACGCGAAAACTGCGTATCATATGCACGCCAACAAATTTCGTATCATGCACGCCAACAAATTTCGTATCATATGCACGCCAACAAATTTCGTATCATATGCACGCGAAAACTGTGTATTATATGCACGCCAACAAATTTCGTATCATATGCACGCGAAAACTGCGTATTATATGCACGCCAAACACGTGCATAGCATATACACACCAAAGTCCATTTTTGTATCAATACCACGAGTTGCTTTTTTTATTTATTATACAATTAACAAAAGCAAAAAAGACCTCTAACACTAGCTTGCTCTATACTTTTTCTATTCTGTTTTATTTTATTATAGTATTTAAAAAACCCTTGCTACGTTTACTGCGTTAAGCTAACTGAGACTTGTCATAGCACTTGCATATCATTGCTCTTTTGTTGATTTTGATTGCTTCCATTGTCCTCATTTGTAAGGTGCTTTGGATAAAAGCGCCTGCTAAATGACTAAATGTAAAAGCTACATGACATTTCTCGCTATACGCACAGACTCAGGTAATTCACACACGCTCTCTCTCTCTCGTAACTGCATTAGTTTGCATTATCAATGGCTCAAGCCTCCGTTACTACCTCTAAAATGACGTTTTGAGGTGTGGTAAAGAGTTAATTAGATTAGTTTTGAAGCCCCGGTGAAATTATCTGTCTGGGACACCCTGGGTATTTGCTTTGTTTGTCAATAAAGCATTAGCCACTACATCAGCTGCTGTTCAGTGTTGATTTGGTGATATATGATATTTAAATTACAGTTATGTACATTGATCTTGATGCATGCACACAGGTGCCTATGAACTATGGTACACTGTAAAAAAAATTCCGTAAAATGTACGGTAAAAAAACGGCAGCTGTGGTTGCCAGAATTTTACCGTAAAAAATACGGTAGCAAAGTTTTAGGTTTTATAGTTTTTACTTAAATTTACAGTTAAATACCGTAATTTCATTAACTGATATAATGTTAATATACAACCTTATTGAAGTACTGAAATCTGTTTTGTACCTTTGTAATACACCGATAACCACCAAATGCAGGTGGTGATGAGAAAGTCACATGATGAACCAAAGCCCATCTACAAAACTGATAAGAAAAAACTAAGAAACAGTTATTTCAACAAAAAAACATCAAATTTGAAATGTAACGCAGGGAATTCTGGGAATGTCAATTTACGGTTATTCACTGTAAATTATATGGTATTTTTTCACTTCCAAAAACGGTATACTACTGTAAAATTGATTTCCAATACATGTAATGTCCAATACAGTTTTTCACCGTATATAGTAGGGGAATTTACCGTTAACCATTTAACAGGTTTTTACTGTAGCATTTTTACAGTCTTTTACCGCTAAATTCACGGTCATTTTTTACAGTGTAGACACTTCGCAACTTTATTTATTGCTAAGCTGTGCGCAAGCAGACTACATATTTTACAATGATCTTTCGTCGTAATCATCTGCAGTTTTTCAGAGAAATCAGGCGTTAGATGAGTCACCTTTACGCTCATAACACTGTTTGCAAGTAAACACACTCACTGCACAATGAACTGAGCATATGAGCATGCGTCAGTGATTCTCATCATGACACATAATACGTGACGATCTGATTTTAAATGTGTTTTCTGCGTAGATGGAAATGACAAAAATAAATATAATTTGTGTCCTTTGTATTTTGTTGTTTCTTCAGGCAATGATAACAAACACATTTTTACAGCAGTATAATTTTAGTAACATTGATATACTAATGAATTAGATTTTATTATAATTTCTGTTTTCATTTTAATTTTAGTTGTAGTATTTTTTGGGGGGGTTTCAATTTTTAACCAGGTTTTGTATATTTAAAATATGTCTAGGTTTTATTAAGTTTTAGTTATTTTAGTAGTTCAACAATGAGAAATGTGACCTTGGACCACAAAACCAGTCATAAGGGTCAATTTTTGAAATTGACGTTTATACATCATCTGAACGCTGAATAAATAAGCTTTCCATTGATGTATGGTTTGTTAGGATCTGACAATATTTGGCCGAGATACAACTATTTGAAAATCTGGAATCTGAGGGTGCAAAAAAATCAAAATATTGCGAAAATCATCTTTAAAGTTGTCCAAATGAAGTTCTTAGCAATGCATATTACTAATCAAAAATTAAGTTTT